CTATTATGTTAATAAATACATTTGATGGACTAAAAATTTGATTGAAACCTCCAATAAACACTTAAATATTTGCTTCTTGAATATTTTAAAAATATTTTGAATTAAAAAAAACGAAGATTATCTCCAAACGTTAAGATATCTAGTTTTTTTAATAATTTCAGGTGAAAACTGTCAAAATGCACCGCAACTTCACTGTTATAATACATACTTACTTTGTAATAAATTGACAATGAAAAATATTTAACATTAATGCGTAGATGGAGACATAAAGAGGGAAAATAAATATCAATAGTTCATCATATATGTGTTATTTCTTGTAAAACATTCATGTCCAGACATTCTTGAAAACCATTTAATCATTCACTATTTTTTGTTTTCGATTTTTCAAAAACTCCAATATATGGCTCAATTAGATCTCCTGACTATAAAAAACGAGTTATAACACTTTACTCATTCAGACTGACTTCATTGTAGAATGAGTCATTAACAACCGCGAACGAAAATATCTAAATTTTTGAAATTATCTCTGAAATAAATAACACACACACATATGCCTAAATGAAAACCACAGTATCTACAGCCACAGGGTGATGACATAGATGAATGCTCGAGACGACCTTAAATTTATCCTAGCGCAGTGGGTCTTCGGATGTGAGAAAGTATAACCGAAGGCACGTAAATCAAAAGTAAGTAGTGCATGAATTTTGGAAGTCGACTGATACATGGACATACACAACATCGAAGCACAAAAATAGCACAATTAACAATCAAATTTGATCGTCAAACTTAACTTGGTATTTCGTTTCTTGAAACATTATCCACAAATTTTGAATGCCAGCAACTTTAATCAAAATACATTCTTTTATAGTAATTATATTAATTTCTGCCGAGCACGTATACTTCCTGACTGAATGAACTGCAAAAGTTTGCTCTTAACATAAAAGAAATGGAAAAGGTTTTTTTATTATTGACATCTTATTTTCGGAAGGCATTACATTGTTCAGTTTACTTATTAACTGTGAAAATGTTTGATGGACTTAATCTATCTTATACTAACTTACACTAACTTAAAATTATACATTACAATAATATAAAAAACTGGGAGACGAAGCAGGAAGCACCTCAGATTAATATTATTCCAAGTTTGCAAACATTTTATAAAATGAATGGAGGAGATATCTATTGTTAATTTTCGTTTGGTAATTTGGGGTTTTGCCTAGTTTATAGAAGGATGACGCTTGAATTAGGAGAAGGTTAGTGTAAAAAGTGTGTGCGAGGTAGTCTATTTGTTTTTTTATAGTGTTTATATTTAAATCATTGTGTAATTGATTGCTACTGATGAACCATGGTGCTTTCGTAATTTATCTTAAAAATTTATTTTGGATAACTTGTATTTTGTTTAGGTTGAAATTAGCAGCATTGGTCCAGATGGGACAAGCATAGAGTAATGTCGGCCGGATTATTGTTTTGTAGAGTAGTATATCTTTGGATTTGGAGAGTTGACTGTGTTGATTCAGTAAGGGTCGGAGATGAATTAGTTTAGTTTTGGCATGCTGAGTATTTACCTCTATATGTTGCTTCCAGGATATCGAAGCCCAAGTATTAGGTACTACTCATGAGTGCACTTACTTCTGATAACTTTACACATTTAATTTTAATTCAGAATTATTCAACGATGCAGACTTAACCTTCCACGTTAGTTGGTTTCTCATCAAGGCAATGAATGCATACTATGTTCTTATTTATATAATCAATTTACAAACTTTGAGTATTTCAACCCTAATTAACGTTAAAGTAGTGTGTTGAAAATTGTAAAAAGGCTTTACACAAACGCCATGAAAATGCAAATACGCCCTCAGTCAAATTCAATTATAAAAGAACAGTAATATTCTCCCTGAATCTTTCATCTAAGTACTCCCACAGTTTATACAATTTGACTGCTTGACCACGGCTCGAGTAAAACGTTTCTAGCTGTGGTGCTGGTCGCAACACTTCGGGACACTTGTCTTTGTTTACCTTGCTCTGAGCGCAAGAGGTCGCGCTGCCGACCCCGCTACGGTGCCTTCGCAGACCTCGTCGGCAGTTGCTGCTACCCTCGCCACGCGCCAGATCGAGCCCAAAATTCCAACCGCTTCGTTCTTATTGCTTCTTCTTTGAACACCGGAGCACGATCGTTCACGCTTTTGTGATCTCGTAACAGTACTTCCCGTTTCTCACTATTAACGTACTATTAACGCATCACTAGTAACGGCCCACGACGCAAATCTAGTTATTTATTCTCTGAACCTTTCTTCCAAGTCGTCGTCTTCTGCCACGACCTCACGTTCAAATCGCAATGGTGGATGTCAACTAATTTCCTTTCAACGCTTCAAAACTAATTTCCTTTCAACGCAAATCGAGCCACCCGAATGTCGGCTTTGTCCTCCACTCCTCACTCGCAACGTCCTCATAAGACAGTTCATGACCGAACCCACAAGGAGCAAGACTGTCACGCACGATGTAGATATACATACATACAGATAAGTCATGTAACTTTAGCCCGTCCTATAACTTTTGAACGATTGACGTTATTGAAATGCAATTTTCACGGAAGTGCATGAGGGAATGACGCTAATTAATACGTGTAATCATTTCTATTTTATCACCTGTATTTTACGAGATATTTGAAGTAACTTAAATTTTCAAATAGAAATATACATGTTTTCGATTTATGATGACATATGTCAAAAATCAAATTTAATGATATACATATTGCCATATGTTAGATACTTATTGTTTTAATAATTTTAATGTTTTTGCGACTAGTGGTTAGCGTATATTTTGAATGTAACAGTCCGCTTTACAAGTCATCGCAGCGGCTCCCTTGCCAGCGCGCGCTCGGGGAAGGGAAGGGATCTTAGTATTTGAAGATATGAAGATTTATTTCAAATATTCACGAAACTGTTGCAGTGTGCTTAGTTTCAAGATACCATTAATATCCTGTTGTATGACACCTCTTTAAATGAAGTTGAAGTAACAATCTTATATCGATACATCCTACTTATAAAGAATCCGTATTTTGAAACCTTAAGTAATACAAAAAATATGAAAATGTATGAGGATGGAAAACAACAATAAAGAAGCTGCAACGAATTTTTCCCACGCTATTTTGACGGCAACATTTTAACTTTTTTTTCATGGGAAGCAGTTTTCAACTTCTCAAGAATATTGGTTGTAACAACCTTAATGTACACAGTCTTCTGCAATTATAGATTTTCATATTAAAAAATGCAAATAATAATAGTATTGATATTAGTGTAAGGTTTTCTGTGGTTACTAACTTTACAGAACAACGCACATTTTTCGCGTATTCCTCTGTTAATACAACTGACTTAGTATATCTTAGAAAGAAGAGCTCTCTGTTTCAGACAGACCCTAGCAGTATCAGTTGTTTGTAAATAAACTTAATTGGCGTATTTCATCGGAAAATTTCCCTTTGAGACCGTATGTGCGTTTCTGCAATTCATAACAAGTTCGAGCAGCGAGTCCAGCGGATGGCAGGGCTGTCTCCGTGCTCCAGTGAGCAATTTTGTTTCAAACAAATGTTATTTATGTGCGTTTCACTTCAAAGTTTAACCGATATATTCAAAATTATTGTAGAGGTACGATAGTATTTTTTACAATTAATTGAAGTGTCGACCTAACATAAAAATTTGCATTTTAAATACTTAAGTAATATGTTTAAAGTAATCATATTTACATGGCATGTAGGTATATCTTTTTCGGTGAATTTAAGTGTAATTTTATTTTTCTGAAGTAAACCGTTTTTGCACAAAAACATTTTAAATATTAGCGTGTGCATGATTATTCGAAAAAAACTAATTAGTAGTATTTCTGAAAGCGGTATTATTAGAAAAAAAGAAGAAATACGTTTCACCTATTATCGCCTCTAGACCTCATAAAAAGCTTTAAGTTGCTAAAAAATACTCATGTTTTATGAGTGTGCTATTTGACATGAAGTGGCTTAACTGTGATACTTTCATTGTCGTATCCATGCATTTAAAAAAGTCATTTGGGGGCTGCAGCCTAAAAAGCAAAGTGCAAGAATTGTTAATCCTATTGCATTTACTTCTATGCTAAATACTATAATCTAATATACAATTTATTCATTTTCAAAACTGCAGAGAAAAATCTAAAAAAATTACCAAACATTTTATGTTATTCCATTTCACAAATGCCTTGAATACTATTCATCATAAGACAATAACCAACTCTGCTAAGACTTCATCAACGTATCACCATCGTTTTATACGAAGATGTTGTAAGCTCAAGAGGCACCAGAAGTAAAACATCAGTCGCTAGTTGGTCTTCGATCTCACTCTGAGATGCCCTTGTATTTTTACAGGAATAGAATTTTCTTTCTTTCTTTGGCTTTTTTGTGCAACTTCTTCATCAAGAAAGAAGGGAGATGGCGAAGTCGATTTGCGGTTGGCAACGTGACATCATAGTGCATGTGGGACCGTCCGGCATTTTGCATCGAGAGACGCGACTAGAAGGAGCAGAAGTTGGTAAAGTTGCTTCGGAAGTGGGTACGCTCGTATGCTAAAATTTCTTGTTTGAGTGCATCTGGAACCGTAGAGCATCCTGTATCCAGAGATGAGAAAACAGAAGTTGTGGTTGGTGGAGTTGCTTTACAAATTGATACACCCATACGTTGACATTTGAGAATATACCTAGTGCGTCCACAATCGCAAAGCACCCAGAATCCTCCGATGCGACAACTGAGTTGCAAAGTTCCTTCGAAAGCTGTTTGATAAAATTGCATGTTCACGCGCAACACAAATCATAGAGCATCCTGTATCCAGTAATGAGAAAACAGAAGTTGTGGTTGGTGGAGTTGCTTCGCAAATGGCTACACTTGTATGATGGAGTTTAAAGTTAAAGAACATCCGGGACCTTATAGCGCCTTGTATCTAGTGATGAGGCAAGGGATATGGTTGGCAAAGTTGCTTCGCAAATGTCTACCCCCTGAAGCTGAAAGATGACGACATGGTGCATCCAGGACCCTCAGGCATTTTGTATCTCCCGACGTACAGCACGTTCTGCCACTCGGTGTTCACAACATAAAACAAAAACGGGTGGTCGACTTTGAACCTCCGCTGCTCCGTGCTAATGCGCTTCGGCGCCGTCAAGATGCTGTGGCCCAGAAAGCCGCTCTCGTCGTTGACGTCTATGACCGTTTTCTGCACGACTTTGTTCAAGTACAGGCCTTTCGTTTTGATCAGTCCTGAGAAATCGGAGATCTCAGGGTCGAACAGAGAGACTATTCCAAGGCTCTTGAGGTCGTTTGTCAGATCGAGCTTGCTTTCGATTTTGAAGCGCGGCAAAAACACTTCCACTTCCGGGTGCGTTACTAATTGAAGCTCCTTAAACATAAAACAGGAAATTCAATTAAGACTTTACAATTAAACTAAAAATACAATTTTGGGTAAAAAGATATTGTGACACATTTAAACCTAGTGGTCCTAAAACAACACATACTTTCTCACTCTTAATGGTTGTATGTACTAATATTATACCTCAATTTTTGTCCATATAAACACATCTCTCTTATTAAGTGCAGGCAACACTGCGCGCATTCAGAAATGAGTTCTGCAAACTATGGACACATGAATTATTATCAATTCTTGCTAGAGACGCCATTTTTACCATAAATAGAACTGATTTTCAGTTTGCATTGTTGTGGTTTTACGAAAGTTTTTATAAAGCGTTCTTTATGGAACACTAGTGCTTGTTTTGAATACATAAAATTATTTTTCAACTTGTCACCGAAATATTCTAAGCCCATTATCAAATGTTTCATTTTCTTTTAAATGAAGACTTTCAACCAAATAAAACCATAATTAGTCTCTTTATAATTAATGTCTTCAAACAGAAAATAAACAGAGTAGCCCGGATCACAGTAAACCAAAATACCCGCTTCGACGTTTTTTATTTGCTGTTTACTCGCTTTTAAAGAAGCCACTGCTGTATGTACTATATGAAATGACATAAACGCCATATTCCTCTATCCTTTTTTTTTCAAAAATTACAAAATAATATTATTTATTTCTTCTTCAGATCGTTAATATTTATATTTGTGGCATTTTGTTCACAATATTGTGTTTATGAGTACATGAGATTAAATAATGTCATATAAAATTTCTCGGAAACTCAAACTTTTCGAACTGAGAGTCCTATACACGCAGTAAAGTACGTGGAATAGGGAAACTTGTGAATAGGGAATACGTTTGCCGTCTCTTGATATACCGAAAAAGTTTTTTTTTTCACGTCCGTCCGTCTGTAAACACTACTTGCGTCTAAACCATACATGAGATTTTTTTTAACTTGATGAAACGACTGTCCATCTGGCTCGAGTCGAAGCTTTGAGATTTCGAAAATCATTCTTTAAAACTTACTTATCTTAGATTACTTTGCATGATGCCCTTGGTGTTTTTTCAATTTTCTTTTCAAAATACAGTGTTAATTGTTTTCTTTAAATTTCTTGAAAGAATTCGTTTATAAAGATGGCATAAGTCCAATTTTCATGGTTATTACTGAATTTCTAAAAGTTGCAAAAGTTTGAATCCGCGTCTTCGTACAACCACAAAGTTAAAAATAGAGGATTTTCTTCCATATAAAATTTGTTCCCAATAATTATTTCTTTTCTCAAGGTCATATACTTTTTTTGAAAATTGTAGTAGTTTTAGCGCTATATTGTGTTCACTTTGTGTAATTTTTAAAAAATGGCAAAAGCGGCTAAAATGTTTCCTTAAAACTTTTGGAACGAATAGTACTAAATGCAGTCTATAAGACGTTGTAAACGCCATATTGTTGTTTTAATTTTTTTTTTCAAAAATTACAAACGTGTATTTTTTACCTTTTCTTTCTTGTATCTTATATTTACATCAGCGGCAACATCTTTACTTTAATGTACTTATGATTACAAGTGATTGAAATAATGTATGATAAAGTTCCTCTAAAACTCAAGTTTTCCGCGAAAACTAGCTCAAATTCCGCATTTTCAGAAACGCTCAAACGCCATTTTCTCAAAAACGACACCTAATATTGTCTTCAACCTTTTTAAACAGGTAGTGATAGTTGAACTGTTTAAAATGACATAGAATTAATTTTTCTACATTAATTTGTTTTTTTTAATAACACAAATATAATGTTTTTGAAAGATTTCTCTCGCCTTTAATATGCATATTTCCAGAGATTTGTAAACACTATTGCATAGTACTAGAAGTACTTGAAATGACGTTGTATAATGTTTTCGAATACTCAATAGCTCTCTTTGAAAAGATATTCAAATTTTGAATTTACAGCAGCGCTTAAATACCATTTTCTTATAAACGGCTCCAAATGTTTTCAATTGACATTTAGGACGAGCTTTTACTGTTCTTTAATATTCGTAAAAAAATATTTCCGTGCTACTATTAGAAACACCAATTCTTTTTAAATTTAAAAAAATGTACTTTGGACGGCGATAGAGAGGGCAATATAATTTGGGCGGCAGCTGGTAAGAGTGTGTGGCAAGTCCGAATAGCTAGCCAAGACCAGTGGAAATATAAAACGAATAGGCGAAAGTCTGTGCCATTCAGTAGCACCACTAGTTTGTTATTTCAAAACTGTACACATACGTAACGTCCAGTTCAGTAAGTTCAGAGTCGGGTCTAGTTCATTCTACAGTGTTTTTAATAATGTTATTCATTACAAAGTACTAATAGAATTAACAATGTAGTGGAAGGGTGAATGTTCGGAATATTTGGGAATGTTTAGAAATTATTCGGAATGATACAAAAAATACAGATCAAATGTTGAAAGAAATCTAAAAACGAATAATAAATGTTGGTAGTCTCAATATTAAGAAATCTAAAAAATAACAATGCATTTAAGAAATAATAATTTGATACAACCAAGGCTCTAATCACAAGAAAGGGAACCATAATATGTGTGCTCTGTACCATTTTAAGCTGCTTACTGTCTCAGTAATAGGATAAAATTATAATTTTTTTTTACTAAGTTGTGTCTGCTCTCAACCGCCGAGCGGAACGGACGTGTCCTAGCACCATCACAGAGACAAAATCAAGTGTGCTTATAGTGAGTGACATAACAAAACTAAAAATTTTTAAAACTACAGTAAAAAGTGCTACAAAATAATACGATAAGTGCTCAAAATATTAACAGAAGAAGATTCACTAGGAGAACACATCAGCAGATCCATCGAACTATTAAATAATGATGGAAAAATGCGAAAACTGTGAATATATCACAAGACAAAACTATTCACACTTGCTCACGAAGAAATCAGCCAAATTAGCAAATCTACAAAACAGTGGATCAACATCTCCATACGATCAAGAATATATTCTCCAAGAACATCTTAACACAGTTAGAAACACGAAAACCAATTCTACAAGCAACATCTTCATCTTCAGCGACTGATCAAAAACGAGCGCGAAACAACGCACAATATTCCTCAAGTATACTGGACCACGGCGCACAATCAACTGGAAGACCTCGCAATCTCAGAAAGGTAGGCCACAGAAATCCCAGTGATTCGAACCAGAAACAAGCGGCACATACACCCAAAAGAAAGATGACTCTGCAAAGTAGGCAGTAACACTATCACGTGACGCCGACGAGGTAGAGATGCTGGATCCAATTGTGCACAGTACAAGCGATTACCTCATAATAGATACTCGAAATATAGAGATCAGTAGACGAGATTCAGAGGAATGTAAGTAACAATGAGCCTCAATTCGAAAATTAAAATTCCCCGATTTGCCTCAGAAACGCGAGAGAAATAATAGGAAGGACTCTCTCTAACCAAAAGACCTAAAGCAACTCATAGGAAACGGCTTACACTCAAACACAAGGAATCTCAGTAAAAATTTATATGAAACACCGTTTCAGGGAAATCACCGAAAGTGCAGAAATAATTTGTGGAAAAAAGAAGTGTTCCCATAACGCATACTGTGTGGCAAACTGAAAAAACTTATCAGTTAGTAAGTAAAACATGGTACCATAATATTCACTGACAAAGAAATTTGAACTACGAATTAGAAAGTCTAAGCCTGGTCCCAATGGAAAGTAAACCATATTAAACTAACGAGAGAACATTACCATTCAAAGTAAGTAGCCTTAGAACTATTCAAAGCTCATAGAATGGAAGGAAGATATTTAAATCTAGCATTCCCTGTATTGTACTTGTATTGAAACTGTGCGACTGTATGTAAAGATAGAATAAGAGGAACCAAAGGCCCCTCGAATGTAACCAAAATCGCATTACTTTGGACAGCGAAAAAAATATTGCACAAATGCCACAATTAGTTGGCTATTGTGCAGAGACAGACATGTGACAAAAACTGAAATTAATTAATCACAAACCCACGCGACCCCATTGGGTACTCTACTGTAAGAAAAATCATATGGCTAGCGTCTAGATCAATGCAGAGTACTTACAAAAAGAAAGAGACATCATCGAATAAAATTAAACTACCAAATTCCAAGCTATACAATCACATCAAAAATATGAAAACGAAGACTTCACTCACAAGACATTCCCGCAACAAACAAACATAAATCAAAAATCCACTACATCCACAATGGTCCTAATAACACCAAGGATACTACAACTCATCCACTTAGGCACAAACAGTTAACGAATAACCATACGACAAAGTATCAGACACAATTTATAATGACAGATGTTACCAACAATAGTAACTAAATACAGCTACATAATCCACAGATACAAAAAATCTTCGTATAAATCAAATCTCAAATATAATAAAAATGGAGATAACAGCCCACTGTAAAATGCAATAAACGATTGCTTAACTGGAATGCAATGGGGGGCTGACAAAGATAAAAAAAATAGCATACATTATTACATCCTGAAGAAAAGCCAACTAATAAACAATGTGCATGCATAACAGAAACACACCTGGTGGCACCAGAGACAACCTTTCAAAATGACTGGATATAACTGTTACAGAGAAGACAGACATATGTCAACATGCAGCAGGAGGAGTAGCAATACTAATTAAAAAGAATTAGACCACTCATTAATTTCTATTCCAAAATCGAACAACCTAGAGCTAATAGCAAGTAAAATAACTCGTGTAAAATTAATAGTTAAATTATCATACACAGCGTATAAACACTAAAAAACAAATCAATATAAATGAATTAAAGCTAATATTACATAATACAGAACGTAGATCTTAATGGGAGATTAAACAGCAACATATCAATTGGGGTTGTAAAGTGAATACACCTAATGGTTGCCTCAAGTTGCTAAAAGCCTCATCAAATAAACAAACTTTCAAATCAAGCCCAACAAACCCTACTCATTACTCCAAAAACTGTAATGCTGAACCAGATATCCTTGACAGTTACATTTCTAAAAATCTAAAACACACCTCATGTTCATGTGTTACCTGAATTAGACTCTGACCACTGTCCTGTTATCTCACCTCTGATATGAGCTATATTAAAACAGTTGTCATTGGCCTAGACACAAAAACAGATTGGGTAAATTCAACAAAACGTCGAAATTCTCTCCCACAAGCCGATTCATGAAAGAACAAAGAAGAAATTGATATTGCCATAGATACCTTCACTAAAATCATACAAAAGCAAGAAAAGAACAATACTAACTCAAATTCTAAACCAAAATATACACAAATACATATACTATCGGCATTGAAAAATTATTCAAAAGAAACACAAAATACGTAGGCAATGCAGCAATATAGAAGCCCAGACTTAAAAATACTAAATAACTAAACACACCAAGTAAGACTAGTTTAGACGAGCACAGAATCCCACAATAAAAAATTACATTAAAAAAAATAAATCCTAAAGACAGCAATTTATGAAGGTTACCAAAACAAGACTATTGAAAAACCAAAATATACCAGAACTAAAGACATCAATAAAACAGCCACAACA